GTGTCTTAAATTCTGTGTTCATTTTTTCCTGGATAAAGGGTGGCTATATAGCTAATAATGCACATTTTAAATTTGATTACGAGTCATTAAATCCACCAATCTTGATTGATAAATCTTAAATGCTCGATATAAATTTTATATTTATAATTACTTTTAATGTGTTTCAAAGGTTTCACTGAAAATAAAAAGGCATGGTTACCAGTAAATCCAAATTATTATAATGTAAACGTCGAATCGCAGAAAAAAATACCAACTAGCAACTACAATTTTTACAAAAAAATGTCTCAGCTTCGGAAAACCGATACATTGAAAAACGGCGATCTTCAAACATATAATATTACTAAATCCATATATATTTTAAAGAGGTAATAACAATTTAATGAAGTATTATGGAGTGTATATATTCTTAATCGTTTCGTTGTTTAGATCATTATTGGAACGCGAATCGTACGTTGTCGTAATGAATTTCGGCAGTGAAACTGAAACCGTTGTATTGTCCAATGTCATGAAGAACCTCAAAGACGAACTTTACGTATACTTAGGAAGTGAAAATTCTGCATATGATACCGGGTAACTAGAATTTATCACTTAAAAAAAATCAATGATGACTCTTTACAATTAACACTTTTATGTTATATTATTTATTGTAATTTATGTTTATAGAAGTATTGTATCAACCGTTTCTTCAACTGGTAATTCACTAACACTGCGACCACAATCTGTAGTCGTATTAACAGATAAATATATTGCACCTGAAACACCAACAATTGGTACTCAAAATGCGGCCACACAAATGGGTTCCACATCAATTAGTCTACTCAGTATTCTTATACTATTAAGATATTTCTTATGAATTCATCTCTCATAATTGTATAGTAAATTCTCTCGTTATAACTCATTTTAATTTTAATTGTATCGATAACTTTGTTGTATATATAAATTTATCAATAACTTTGTTGTATATATAAATTTTTTTCATGTATATTTAATAAAGGCCTTATTTATGAACACATTAAACAACTTATTTAACTAATTTAATAATTTATTTAAACTGTAATATATTTTATGTGCACCTTATACATTAATAAATACACAATGGGACTCAACACCAATGATGACCATATAAGGGTGTAATAAATATGAACATTATCTAATAAAAATAAAATTAATTACATTCCATAATCACAAATAACATTAAGATATTAAGATACCGAAACCCATATCCGTCAAAGCACGAGCCGTCAAAGAAAATATGAGGCCGCATATAATTAAAAATAATATCACCGACAACAGAGCAATAAAAAACTACCAATATCTAAAATAATATCATTTTTTCGATCATAAATAACACAGCATTATATCAAGACTCAGAATACCAGACGCCCATAATTGGACATAAAAAACCATCCGATAATGAAGAAATGGAACAATACAATCAGACCAATTCAAAATCTACGTATCGCAAATAACATCATAAGAAATCATTTAATAATATCACCATTGCAAGATTATCAGTTTCTTCACAACAACAAGGCAATTAAACCTATTGCGCATCCAACGTAAATGACGCAGCTAGTTACGATATGATGAAATCGTCAATAACAAAGCAATTAAATATGCCAGACATAAATCAAACCAGATTTATGAAAAATCCTCAATATCTTCAAACGATACGTACGTCGCAATGCAAGCATTCGGTACATTAGCAAATGCGCGAGTTTCAAAACAACCTGCCGCGCGCACAATGATGCGCTGCAGACACCAGAAGAAGGGGCATTACCTGCTAGTTGCTACCTATATAACGGGCACACACGACCAGTAGTCCTTCAGTCTTTTTCATACACACAACCAGTACGGTGCATCCGAATTGCATGCCAAAAAAATAAATATAAATCGGGTCGTCCGAATTGCATGCCGTCTCTTGGAGGGTCTGTGCGAATTGCATGCCGTCTCTTGAAGGGGTCTGTCCGAATTGCATGCCATCTCTTAGAGGGGTGAGGGGTATATCCGAATAAGTAACTTACTTTTCAACTGGAGGATCGGGATTTTGTTACATTACAATAAAACATATAAATATTGTAGAAGGTGACACTGTGAATAAGAATCATAAAATAAAACTATTTTTTTTTCATCTACAACAAAGGCCTTTAGTTAAATAAAACTATAGTAGTTTAGGGTAATCATGTGAGTGTATTTTAAATAATATTATTTTTAAATTTGGTGGTTTTTTTTTACATTTCGGGCACACAATATTACAATTTAAATAAACAAAATAATATATAATAATAATTCATAATAATAAAATATGTCAATATAGAAACATCTTCTTTTTTTGAATAATAAAATAGTATAATAGCATTTTTTTAAACGGTTAATATTACAATGAAAAATTACGTTACAGTATTTACATGGAAATTTACACGGACATAAAAATACTTCGATTCAGAAACTAATCACTAAACAGTTATAACAACCATACATAAAAAAGCGTTTCTATACATATATTTTTTTTAAAAAATTAGGAAAGTCCAAAAAAAAGTTTAAGTTGTTTAAGTGCATAGTAAATAAACGTGTGACGTACGGCATGCAATCCGGACAAAGCCCTATAAGAGATGGCATGCAATTCGGACAAAACCCTCCAAGAGATGGCATGCAATTCGGATGCAGCCAACCAGTAGCGCTCCCAGTATTTTACACACGCACGACGCTTACGTCGTATAGCATCATGACGATACACTCTTTTCAAATAATAAGACAATTCAAATTCATTATTTTATCACTTAAATTTAATACACCTGGTATGATTTCATTGATTTGAATTCATACTTGTGATTATATTCATACAAAGAAATCGCATGTTATTATTTATAAACCTATCATTCAATTTTCCTACTACCGCCTATAATTCTTTCAAACTTCGTTATTTATGATTACCAGATCAATCAATCAATTATACAGCGTTGAAGATATCGTAAAGACTCGAGCAAAACATCCCAGAAAAGTTATAATTTAGACTTTATCGATACCACTGCCTGGAGTATAGGGTATATTCATAATACAGTAGTGTCGAGTTATGTCAGGTTGTTCCGATTAGGAACGTTCAATGTCCGCTCTTGTGAAGCTCGTATTCTGAATATATCAGTATTCCTTATCCCACAAATATTTTAAAAGTATTATTTGAGTTTCATTGCTGCCAAAGCTTGAGATTCGAAGTGTATTCATAATACAATATTGTCGAGTTATGTCAGGTTGTTCCGATTACGAACGTTCGCTGTCCGCTCTTGAAACTATTGTAATTTGACTTTTTGAGTTTATTAGTTTACTGAATTTCGTGGTAGTATAGATCTAGTAGAAATATTTCAAAGGCATCATTTAGATTTTACTGCTGTGAAAGCTTGTAATTTAAAGTATATCCATAATACGATATAGTATCGAGTTATGTCAGGTTATTCCGATTAGGAACGTTCGCTGTCCACTCTTAAGATGATCGTATTCTGAATATATCAGTATACCTTGTTCCATAAATACTTCAAAAGTATCATTTGGACTTCATTGCTGTTAAGGCTTGAAATTTAAAGTACATCTATAATTCAATAGTGTCGAGTTGTGTCAGGTTGTTCCGATTAGGAACATTCGCTGTCCGCTCCTGAGATTATTGTGTTTTGGGTATATTAGCACACTCTTTCTCTTTAGATCAATAGTTCAACATAACCATCCCCATACGTATAGAATACATCCACAATATAATAGTGTGGAGTTATGTCCGGCTGTTCCGATTAGGAGCATTGGCGGTCCGCTCCTGAAGCACTCATATCTTGGATGTACTAATATATAATATTTCGTTAAAATCAGCAGGAAGAGCTAACAGCCGAATAACAGTTTTTTTATTAGAGTATTGTCCTTTTTTCAAAATATCCATTATCCAGAACCTGAAGTATATTTATCTAACATTAAAATAAATTACTGAGACTTAGGTCACGTAGTATCAAATACTTCAGTTGTGGAAGTAATTAATGAATAAATAACTAGCTTTTGCAATGTTATCGTGCATCGAACCACGATCAACCACACGAGCTGCTAAAAGCATCTACATCGTCTTGCTACTGACAAGTGATATTAATTATATAACTACTTCGGTAAAGACATATTTATAAATATTCTGCAAGGTTACGAGATTATTTAGTAGTAGAGTAAAAATTACATAAACACATACACATCGTGAAATCTACCCAACTTTTATTTACCACCTGTTCCCCCGGCGTCATACTGCCTTCCCTTATTTTTATAATCACTCCAATTGGCCCCCAACTTGAGGCTTCTTCCCCTTTATTATTTTTATTCTACTACAAAACGTTTGTTAAAAACTGTGGTATCCAGATTGAGCATGTATCCGATGTGGTATACCGTGTACACTTATATTTAAATTCAATAATACTTCATTGGATACGAAAAAGGATTCTGGGATGAGGAGTACCTAGGTTCCTAGCAAACTTCTATGAATAATTGAATTTTTACATAAAAAATGTACATAAAAATGGAGTATTTCGGTGAACTTTAATTTATTTGATAAAAATAGATAAACTTAATTGGAGATCTTCATTTAAAATGTCGTATGCTACTTAAAAATAAAAATGTTTATACATTTCTAACTAAAAAATGTTCACAAATTTTGAGATTAGAGTCAAAATATTTAGCAATTTAACCATTTACATTTAAGGTTAACCATTTTTGAATTAAACCAAAAAATGTAATTAATTTTTCAAAAGTTGATTTTGAGCAGTATTGTGCAATAGCTAAATTTAGTTAGATAAATTTATCTAGATACCTTATCTAAATAAAACAAACGTATCTTTTATCTTATCTAGATAAATTACACAATTGGTATCTACCTGTCATCTAAATTAATTTATCTAGGTTGTTCACGACACATAATCTGAAAAATATACGAACATTATGTTTTCTGATATTATTTTTATATTATATATAATATATTATATAATTAATTAATTATACGTATATATTTAGGTACCTAGTATTATTATTGTCATTTGTCGCTAATGTGCACCACTTTTAAGAAATTAATAAATAATAATTGTATCGTTGATCGTCGACAGACGACAATAGATAAGCTTAGCTTATTATATAATAATATTAAATAATTCAAGTCGAAGGTCTAAGAATAACCTGATAGACGATAGTACTGGGAAGTGGGAATATTGGTATTATAATAGTTTAAAAATACCAATAACTAATAAGAATAAACCACCAGCTCCACTCGGTCCACTCACCATTCGCCAACAACCTTTATTAATCAACCACTGCAAGTTATAAATATTTTATTTATTATTATTCATTGCCTATGGAAAAAGTATCATACCATCATAATTATTGAGTATTGACTAATGACTTCATTCATAACCGTCCGCGTA